GAGGCTTTCTCAGCCAAGGCATTGGCCATGTGCCTATGACTGAATTGACAACTGATAGAGACCAACTCATTACCAACCAAAAAGCACTTTCTAGTGGCACTACAAGTAAAAAGATGATGATTCACTACCCTCCAAGAGCTTTCGGGCAAGAACAGAGCTTAGAACAGTCGGGCCAAATTGCCTATAAAAGGGGAAGTAAGCATTTGAGACAAGGACACTCAACCAATCAAACAAACAACATACAAACTTTGCTCTCAAGCCAAATTTGCATCCAGAAAAGCTGAAACCAAGTTAGATTCAGTCTTTTTAGTCATGTTTCCTTAGGAAAAGCCATTTTTTTGCCTAGTTTAAAAGCTTTGCTATTTTCCCTAGTATTGTAGTATCGATTTTCTCGTGTAAAACCTGTTTACCATCCATCCCTTTTTAGCTCACAACCCTTATAAACTCAAAGAGAAGTGGCTGCAAGAGGTTCAACCTTGCCCTACAAGGTGAAATCTTGCCCGAGTCTCTTTGTTTGTCTTCTAAATTAGTAGATATGTCGCCTAAATGTATTTTTCAACATGTATGCAACTTATTTCCAATTATTTCCTAATTAAGAGTCTCATTTGCATCCGGATCTGATGAACTCAATAGATCGGTTTTCATTAATAACAACCTGGGATAAAACATGGTTTAAAGGGATCTAAACTCACTCATTTTCTGAACATACAAGACTATAAACTAAAAGTTCTTGTTTACAAGGCATGAAAAAGAACTTAATACAGACTTAACTCATTTGTGACAATCCTTTGATAACAAGAAGTTTAACAAGAAGTTTGAGTAACTTGGGGTGCAAGTAATTGACTTAAAACACACTTGTTCTACATATGCTATACTGAGATAGCAGTGGCACGCCTAGCTTGAAGTTAGTTTTGATTGTGAGCCTTAAGGCCTATACCTAAGGCGCCACAAAGGCACATTTCAAACTAACTTCAAACCCATCTTACAGTACACCAAGTAGCAAGAACCTGACGAACAAACATACCCAGTGCCATTCACTCCAGGGGAGCTATGCGAGGACCCATCCACCTTTTGCCTCAAACAGAAAGCATAAGTTCAAACAAAAGAAAACCTTCGCAGTTTAAAATTTTAATTCATCAAACCTCTTCTCTGTCCAAGAATTTTCCAAACCTTAGACAAGAAGCCTTTTGATCCCATATCATTCTGAATCTCAAGTAAAGAACAATCCAATCATCACAAACCAAAAACAAGAATGGACTATGAGAAGCAGGCCGTGTATTGTTTGGAGTTGAATGATATTGTTAGTGAATTAAATAATTAGTTATTGGAGATAGAGAAATCGTTGGAATGAACTGCACCAGAGTGCATAAGCATGATTGTTGTTTCACACTACAGTAAAACAATATTTGCAGATATGAGTTAGGTTTTCGTAAAAATATTGGTTATTGGCACCCTCTAAAAAGTATCATGCACTCCAAATATAAACAAATTTTAAAAGAAAAAGATACTTGATATCATTGTTCTAAAAAATGGCCTAGGCGTTGGGCGGGTTGGAACAGAGGCGATTTCGTGCAAAACGGCTGGAGAAATCGGGTTGGCTCTATGCGGGCTAGGTGGCCTAGGCGGTGGTAGGTGGCTAGGCGTTTTTTTTTTTTTTTTAAATTTAAAAATAAAAAATAAAAACTTAGATTAAGTATTATACATTACTATATTTCCTTATTTTCCTCCTATTTTGCATTTTATGTTGTTTTAAATTATGAACTTATTGTACATGTGTCATTCTACATTACAGTACTCCTCACTATGGTTATATGGCATATATGCTTAATGCGTTTTTAAATTTTGGACTTGTTGGATACTCTTTTTGTATTTTATCATTCTTTTATTATCTTATCTATGGATTTCATACAAGTATAATTTTTTGTAAGTGAAAATATGCACTTATATGCAAGATATACAAGAAATTTACCTAAATCCGCCTAGGCGCCTAGGCGCCTAGCCGCCCGACTAGCACCTAGCGTTTTTTAGAACCTTGCTTGATATAAATGAATGTGAATAAATAGACAAAATATATTAGAAAATAGTGCTTTGAATGGAAGCGACTGTGGTTTGAGCTACTTCTGCTTTCTGTTACCAATGACCCATGATTTTGAGTAAAAAAAAAACAATTTTTTTTCTCTTTTCCAAACCCAATTTTAATCTTAGCTTTTTTATAGAGTGATTCTCACTTTACTACCCTCAAATATCGTAAAATTTCAATTTTCATATATAATTTTTTTCCCCACTTTCATACCTAAAATGTGAATTTTATGATACTTTCATACTTCTGTTAGTCTTTCCATCAAGAGCTCATGACATGACTTATTAACAGGACGATAACTGTGCATCCATGTGCTACTGCGGCTCCATTTGGTGGGTAAATCCAACAAACAGCCCCAATAAGAAACCATAACATAAACCCTTCTTCCTTCACAATCCAAATCTTCAATTCCAATCCAAATATTCTCATCCTGAAGTTGAAGCCTTTGATTTGGCGCTGGTATTGGCACTTGCCGAACTAATACGATGGGTGTAACAAAGAAGTAAAAATAGCGATCCCAGAAAGAGAACAACACTTTTGTCATGTTATAAATACAACCCAGGTGCACTCTTTTGACTGCCAGAAAGAAAAGGAAAGGAAGAAGACTAAAGAAAAAATTGAAATACAACCTGTTTGGGTGGAAATTTGACAATGGGCTTTATGATGATGGAGGCCCAAAGAACGCAAAAGTAAAAGGAGAGATTGGGCTATGGCAAGCCAGCAGCCCAAGAAGAATTTAAAACCATTTCAGCAAGGCATATGCCACATGCCTATGTGAGAAGTGATGGGTAACGGAGGGCAGCTCACCCCAGCAAAAAACACTTTTCAAGGGCCCGGATGAGTAAATAAGTGATGACTCATCACCCTCCGAAAGCCATCAGCATAAGGGCGAAGCTTGGACAGTTGAGCTAAATTGTCTATAAAAGCAGAAAGGGACACCAAAAACAAGTATACTCAACTAATCAATCAAAAGACATCCCACTTTGCTCTCAAACAAGCAAGAAACTAGAAAGCAACATTTTGTCTAGACTCTACCCCTCTTTAGTCATAAAATCCTCATACAAAGTCATCTTTTGTCAAGTATAGAAGCCCTGCTACCTTCCCCTAGTGTTGTAGCATCGATTCCCTCGAGTAAAACCTATTTACATTTCATTACCCAGAGCCTACAAATCCCTGTAAACACAAAGATAAGTGGTTGCAAGAGCCCGAATCTCTTTTGTTTGTGCTTACATAAAGTAGATCTATTGTTTAATGCTTATCTCATTATGTTTTTAAATCACGTTCAACTGTTCTTCATTCAAAGTTTCACCTATGATCATTCTGTCTAAACTTAGTGACTTTACTTCTTTAAAGTTTTAACTGTAATGGCTGGAAGGGCGTTGAACCCCCTTCATTTTGACATACAATATTATGAGTAAAAGTCCTTGTTTACAAGGCAAAAAAAGAAATTTAAACAGATTTAACCCATATGTGACAATCCATTGATAAATCAAGAAGTCTAAGTAACTTGTCGTGCAAGTAATCAACCCAGTTCACAACTAAATAACAATATGTTATACAAAGATAACAGTGGCACGCTCAGATCTATGTTAGCCTTGATTGTGAGCCTTAAGGCCTAACCAAAGGCCCTACAAAGGCACCTTTCAAACGAACAACAAACTCATATTACAGTACACCAAGCAGCAAACCTTGCCCGACAGGCAAGAGCCCTAGGGAGCTATGCGAGGGATAGATCCAGCCCGAACACAACCCAGGTGGGAGCTCAAGATTATAAGCTCTTAGTTAGACTTGTCCCTCCCCGAGGTGGGACAGACCATCCACACACAATCAACTATGAACATGCCCTCCTTACGTGTAGCCAATTTTCAAGTTTACATGGGGATAACAATTGGGTGATGCATAAGCAACGTGTGGTCCTTTTGGGCTTTTACACGAGGGAAATCTTCTTTAATATAATGATGAAATTGGGCACCATAAAACCAATTGATATTATAAGCAGTGGCCCAAGATCATATAAGCCTTACCTAAACTTGTCCCTCACCGACGTGGGACAAACTTTCCACACATCATCAACTCTTAACATTTAGAATGACCTTTTATCTGGGAGAAAGTTTGCAGAGAGGCTGAGAAAATTGTTTGAGAATTGAGACCTATAGCACGAATTAGGGGAGTTGAATAGCTGAAGCATTGTTGGACTTGACATTAATGTTTTAATTGTTTCATATTTTCACGTGGGGGTTCTTGTGCCATATCATTGCATAATTATAGTCCATGTGAGCGCCATGTCATGCTTTAATGAAAGTGTTGACAGAAAAGTTAATGGAAATTTGAGAGGGTCACTAAATCAAACTTTAGGTGTGAAAGTGGAATTAAAAAAGTTTTAGAAATGAAAGTTGAAATTTCACGCTACTTAAAGATAATAAATTGAAAATTACCCTTTTCATAGGATTCCTGTAAAAAAAATCACCTTAACTGGGCTTGCTTTTTTGTTTTTGTTTTTTTTTTTTTTCCAAACAAGAAACGATAGAGTAAGTAGACTTGCCTTAGCAATAAAGGAAAGGGGAAATAGCTTTACCCTTTTCATAGGATTCCTTTAAAAAAAATCACCTCAACTGGACTTGCTTTTTTTCTTTTTCTTTTTTAACAAGAAACGATAGAATAAGTAGACTTGCTTTGGCAAAAAAGAAAAGGGGAAATAGTTTTCCTTTTGTTTGGAAGTGGCTTTATGCAAAAGGGATGTGATATCCACACACCCCTTTTTACTTCTCTCACACCCTTTTAATTTTCGGCCGTTGGATCGGATGAATTGAAAAAGATCAAAGGATAAAAATTAACAAGAGATGTAGGAAAAGTAAAAAGGGGTGTGTGGATAGCACACCCCTATGCAAAACTCGTTAGTTAATCAATATATTGCAACTCATTAACATTGCAAGTGGAAAATTGCTAGCAGCTCCTTAGTTCCCTATATAAGAGAAGCAGAGGCAGCCACTCAGAACACGAGTTCAAAGAAAACAAAGCCATCTCACCTTTTTAATTCATCAATCTCAACTAAGAACAATCCGATCATCACAAAGGTTAGAAGTTAAATAGCGCAAGTATTTATCACACACACCGTATATTAGCGGAAAATAATAGTGGTATGCTCGCAATCTCTGAATTCATGTTCATGTAAATGCCCGACCCCTTCACGCAGGGCCATGGTGAATTTATGGTGTCAAACAAATTCACCTTTCTTCTTTCCTTTGTGATTAATCTGTGTTCCTTTCTCTCTAATTTTTTCTTTTAGTTTCTTGTTATCTTTGCACCATTTTGAGTTGTTCATGGGTGTTCATTTTTCCGTAGGGTTTTGCTGAAGATTTGTACGTAGTATTTTCGTTTTTCGAGCTGTTAGGCTATCAAATAACAAAATGTATAACAAAGAGTATTTCAAAGTGCCTCCAGAAATTAAATAGGCCTTACCGTTTGTACATGCTCTCAGGTTGCAAAATGGGATCGGGACAAAGTTCGGAGAGCTCAGACGGGGGAAATGACAGGAACCCTTCGTACAACTTAGGTGCAATTGCTGCTGGTGCTGCTGCAGGAATTGGCGTACTGGCTTGGGGTTTATCTGAACTTGTTTCATCAGCTGGTGAGGAAAAGAAGAAAATGATGAAAGCTCCTGGAAAAGATAAAATCATAGAGAGGGAAGGGTTTGAGCGTGATCCTAAAGGCTATTTCAGAGGCTTGCGCAATAAGTAGGAACTTCTCTTGAACGTTAAACATATGAGATTATGCCTTTACTATTGTTAATCTATGTTTTGTTATTAAACTATCCGAATGGGAACTTGCAGCTTGTTGTCTTGTAGATGGGGATTACTGTTGTTTCATATGGTGATTAGGGTTTTTGCTTCTATTTTAATTTCTGATGTTTATCATCGGTTTAATGGTAGTCGAGTTTCAAAACTTGCTGAACTTTGGATGTGACAAAAGCCAACAAGATAACAAGATGCTAAATAAGTATGCGGTCATTCGATGCAACTAAAAATTTGACATACTTACGGGTAATAGGATCTCAATGATGCTGTTGTCAAATTCCGGACCACATAAGAAGATTTATTTTCTTAGTCTCTTGTACAAGTGAATTGGATGAATGAAATAGGTTTGAATGCTATTTAGACCATCTCTAATCCTTGGGTTAAAACTTAAATTTTTTAATTCAGAAAATTTAGGTTTTAATTCAAAAATAATTTTTTTGCTCCAACCCTTGTGGCTTAAAATTTTAGCTCTAGATTGTTAAAGAATGAATTTAAGCTAATTATTATTATTTTTTAAATTAAGACTATCCTAAATTAATTTTATGAACATTTTAACCTAAAAATATTTAAATTCCGATGAATATTGAAAAATCACTAAACTGACACATGAAACTCATGAAACACTACGGAAGAATATGAAACACATGATAAAAATGTATAAACACAAAACACATGAAACCATGAATAATAGAAACAATAATTATAAGGCATAAACTTAATACAAACAATAATTAATAAACTATATAAACTTAATACAAATGATAATTAATAAAACGCATAAACTTAGTACAAACGATAATTAATAAACTACATAAACTTAATACAAATGATAATTAATAATAATATTCACCACCTTGACTTGGTGTTGGATTTTTTGGTGGACTTGGTGGTGGATGTGGGATATAGCCTTGAGGTGAATCATCATCTTGAAATATACTCCTTGTGGCATGCCTTCACAAAATTTCCTTTTGCTTATCACATAAGAACTTCTTCCTATCTTGAGCGTATTTGTTGAGGTCCTCCCTCATCAAATCACATTCGAACCTTCCATGCTCCCCTTCCCCTTCCTTCATAAAGGCCAAGCGCATTTGGGCCGCTTTTTTGACACACCCTGACCGGAGTTGAGGTGTGCTGGCCGTCGCCTGAAGGTGAAGTAACCAAAAGTGCAAGTTATTTGAAAATGTGGATAAATTAAAACCGAACTAAAACTTAATTAAATTACTAAAAATAGTGCGCGGAAGTGGTTAAACCCAAAAGACACAATGTCAGAGCATAGATAACAAATAGTGCAATTGAACTAGCAAATGTACTTAATACACAATTGGAAACAGTTCCTACATTAAAGTAGAAATATGTCAGAATCGTTGGGTGATCCTTGTGTGCCACAGGGTAGGTCAACTAACTAGGACCTGGAGGGGCGAAAAACAGAAGGGTGAGTGGGCACAAAAATAAAGATTTATAAAACCATTTTTTTTTAACATACTAATCCCTCGTTGTAAAACATGTATAGTTTCCAGAAATTAATTATACTACGTATAAATATGAAATCAAATGCATGCCAACAATAAATCTAGAAGTATGCCGCAACAAAATATCTCAACAACGATGTAATTATGATCATATGCTCAAAATCCATACTAACATGTCAGTCGGAGTCACCTAATGTGACTTGTACAACTGCATCTATCGATCATCAGTCTATGCTAACACAAGAGTCGGAATCACCTAATGTGACATGTATGACATGCTAGGTGTAATAATAAACGCTCTAGTGCTACGATCATGTGAATGATAGTGCTATTGCTATCACATACGAGTCAGAACTGCCTAATACAGTCTGTACCACAGGCTGTGCAATGTTGATGTGAATGATCACGTGAAGGCTAGCATGGCCTGGGTTGAGCACTATCACCTAAGGTGTAGTAATGATGAGCAGACTATATGATAAAACATGCCATAATGATTCAACCTTTTCATTCAACAATAACCTTACCTGGACTGAGCTACGCATCCCGTACTTATTTGAGCATTTCATAACAGTACAACGTTCATGAGCAGGTAAAAATGCATATGCATATGCCATGATGAAATGTAAAACTCAAACATATAATTGTATTTCTAAAATTAATAAATCATGGCATGAAATGCATAAATCAATTTAAAAGTATTTGTGGAAACTATAAAGTTTATACATATATACGGAAAAAAAAATGCCCACTCATTGGTATGTCGAAGGATCGTAGCCCCCTAGCCTTGCTTGTCCACGTACGTCCTCGGGATTAGTCTCCCCTATGTGTGAAATTACTAATTTAATTAGGTTAATAACACATATACGGAAAACTAAATAAATCCCCCATAGTTTGCTCAAACCTAGGGTTTAAATATACAAAAATGATTTACTCGACGTCACGAACCTACACAAATTGACAAAAGGTCAATCAGAGGCTTGACGCGCCGCTACGCACAGCCTAGCCCATGGCCATATGTGCAACCAGACCTTAACGACCATTAAGAATGTTCCGTTACCTTTGATGGAATATTCCCTTGTCTTCTTTAGTGAGCCTAGCTGGTCGCCGCCGACCGCCGTCTGGTTTTGTCGAAAACTGGAAAAAGTGGCCGATTTTAAAGAAGAAAAGAGATAGGGTTTCATACAAACGAAATCAGACGAAATCTATCCAAAACAATGTTTCCAACACTGAATAATTTAACACGCACTCGTAACGACGAGTACAATTTAATTACAATAGCGAGAAAATAATTTAAAGCTGCATAATCACATCCACTTCACTTTGCCAACAAGGGCAATAATGTCAATTTACACACTCGGGGAGAATTTACATAGAAAATTAGGGACGGGTTGTCACATTCTTCCTCCTGAGAGTTATGGCTTTCGGCTAATTTTGCAAATCCGGTAGAAATGGTTGTGCTAACCGGATCTTGCATCTTCCCTTTTCTCTTTGCTTCCTTTTGCTTATCTCTTCCCGGGCGCCTTGTAAAAAAAAGAAGTTGGGGTCACTCTTGCCAAAATTAGATTAACAGTAATCAACCCAATTAAGTCCAAATTTTAATGCTCACAAGTGTACGAATCGTTAAGTAGTATAGTAGGCAAGCACAAGATCGTTCCAACTAAGATTGAAATAATTCTAATTGTCTAACTTAATTTGTATTGCACTTGAATTGAAATGGAAAAATTGATGATTTGAGAAAGAACTTTGAAATTGTAAATGTAAACAAAAATCAAATGAGCTTAAATAAATGACAAGAACAACAAAGAAATCAAATTATAAATCAATTGCGAAAGACACTAGAGCATCCGATTCACCATAACCAATCCAACTCAATTCTTATAGTTAATTATTAATGAGTAATCATCCAAATTGACCGTCTAATTCCTCTAATTCATATAGTATCCTTGGCGTCTAGATTACTATGTATACCCATATGTGCTAACAATCTATGGCATCTAGATTACTAAACACACACGAGTTCATTAACGATTGGAGAACTACTTAAGCGATCGCATGAAAACTAGTGTATGGCATCTACATCAAGGAATTCATGGTACCATTTGCAAGACGCTAAAACCAAATTAACAACATGGCATCTGTGTTAACTCACATCAAATACACTCAACTCAAACCAAAGTGGTGGCCAATCACCAAGATTAAAATTAGGCTCATAAGCACAGCAAAATGATACTCAAAGTGAATGAAAATTCATAAATAATTAAACTAATGAAATTAAGCAATCATGGTTAGGCTACTTCGTAGCCCTAGCAAAATGAAATTAATTCCCAAACATAATCGAAATTAGTACTGAATCCATAAGAAATAAGAAGAAAATTTAGTTTAGAAAAAGCTTGAAAAAAAAATCCCCTGCTTTGCCGCACCTCTCATATGCCTTTTTTCCTTTTTTTTCTACTTTTTTTTTAAAAAAAAATTGATCAGTTCTCATTTTCTTCTTTTTGCTCTTCTGTTTTCATTTCCCTTTTTCGTAACCGACGACGGCTTAAAAGCCCATTTATTGAAAACATTAGAAGAAAAGAAACAGAAGAAACCTTTTAACTCCTTGCCAGACACTTCGTGTGTTTAGACACCTTGATCAAAGCTTGAAAGACTAGAACACCTAAATCACACTCAAGTTGGTCTACTTGCTGCAACGAGGCCTCCATATTGTCCTTTTCTACCCTGCTAGATTCCAGTTGGAAATTTCATCTCCAAAGTGATATATCAACCAAATTGGAAAGTACCCAAATCTCCATTGCAATTGATGAGAATTAAAGATCAAAAATGCCCAATTCATGCTTCCACCACAAACCAACAAACTGGAGAGTGGAATAGAAATATGGATTTTCATCCCTCTTCAATATTTTGATAAGCTACAGTGCGCCGGCTTGCTCCTGGAAATTGGGAGAGAAAAACAACCCTTTCTTCTGTTAGTGCAAATATGAGGATAAAAGCATTTGTTTTGTTGAAGCGGTCACGTGATGGTCATCCTTTTAGTGTGCAATAAAGAACCTGCTTAAAAATTGAATAATAGGAAATGAGTCTACAGGGGGACCCAACTATGATAAGTCAAAGTAGACTAATAAATGGTAAATACAAATAGTCGTCTAAACACCATTTTACCAAACATAATTAGACACCACCAGACTAACATGAAAATCATAGAAACATAGCATAATTTTCCATATCATTAATCTAATCTTAAAAACACCAAAACATGTCATTTCTTTCATTTAAATCAAAAATTGCATCTAAGAAATTGTAGTTTTCCGAGTACAATAAATGATAAAATATGCGCTCATCAAATACCCCCAAACTTTAATTTTGCTAGTCCTCGAGCAAAAGAAGAAAACATAAGAACAAGTATATACATGAAAAACGTTAGCTTCCCCTAGGTGACCCTCATCGAATCTTTTGCAAGATGCATCGTAATCAAGTCCGTAATAAGCACAAAGCAAGTGAGTCAACCACATTCCAATTCTTAGCAAAAACCTTTCAATCATCCTTGAAGTGTGGTGTGTAATAGCCATGCCAATGCAATTCTAAGCTTCTTATAAAATCACCATATGCAAACAAATGACATTCTCACAGAGCATACACTAATTCACACATATTTCTAGGTTATGTATTTCACTCTAATGAT